CCTTATTTCCTGACAATTGAAAAAGACCTAAGGGGGCGCTTATAGGGGCAGGGGTGGTTAATATGGATTATACGGTATATGACGTATAAGATTATTAGCATACTGCCATACTTGATTCTAATGATTACATGTTGGTAACACAGGGGAATTACCAACAACACACATGTAAAATCTTTAAAGAAGTTTGCTAGTTTAATTTCATCGCTAAATAGGAAAATTTTATCAATGATTGAATGAAGCTAGCACAAAATACATATATTTAAAAATAAAGTGATCAGCCTGTTTCAACATTGCTGGTACTTTACTTGATTCATCTCTAAGCAGGTAAATAGCCAGGTTTATCTGCATGGCTTGGTTGAATATTCTCTGAGAATTAAGTATCCCTATAAATTAACTCGGCTACTCTAATAAGGTATTTTGCTTAACATTTACACCCTATTGCAATTGCATCCAAAATCTTCAACATTTTTACATAGACCTAAAGATGCATTAAATGAAATATATTCAACAATAATAATAAAGCATAATGAATAAATGCAACATTTAGCCTAAAACAAAATATCTAAACATGGTTACCTGTTCCAAATGAAATACTGAATAGTACTAGTGTTGATATCACATCAGAAATTTCAAGCTTTAGCAGCTGTTAGGTCCTGGCATTCCGGGCTCTTGTTTTCTCCTTCATTTACGAACACTTTTATGTTCATTTAGCATCATGCATGTTTAGTTCATCTTTAGGACGAAAAGGCAACGTAATTGAAATTATTCAGAAAAAGATCTTTCCTTACAAATCACCTCCATCAGAAACATCACCTTGAACTTATCCTCTCGGGCCACGGTCCAGAATCCGCTCTAGAATCGTATCGATGATGAGAGACAGGGGGTCGTACATTTCGCCGTAGTTTATGACGATGTTTGTACTTGCTGCACTTCATTTTTTAATGAAAAACGAAGCTTTAAATGAACAAAGCCAGCCTAACCGGCGAGTCAGGAAAGTCATCAACATCACAACACGGATTTGTTTACTCGCCATGCGCTTATGGCAAATGTCGTAAAATAATCATTTACGTATAGAATCGACAAATGAATGTAAATCGAATTGTGTAAAATATTTTTGAATTGGGAATAAAGGTATGAAACTCTTTGTAAACATTAAAAAATGTATATCAATCATCTTTAGCAATACATAATTACGTCAATCTGATTCAAGGCAGATGCGCGACTTCCTGCGCAGTGGCGCGAAATTTCGAATTAGGTCTGTCGTCCTTAAATGTAGTACATGAAACAGTTGTAAACATGTATAAAACACATATGTATTTAAAATCCAGTCGATTTTTTTACGTATTGCATTCTTACCTTGTGGGAAAGTATTGTAGGGACTTTGTTCTTGTTCCCCGTTTGGGGATCTGGGCCAGGGCATTGCTCAGCTAGGTCTCATATGCATCTTACATGTAGATTTTGAACAGATGTTTTCGTGGGCAAAAATAACTTTTGTGTAACGTACGGTTGAAATCATCATCGAGTCCATGGAGTAATATGCACATTTTTACATTTCCGGAGGATCCAGAGTTTTTTCAGAACATGAATTAGTGTTTCAAAGTGGCAAAAGAACTAAACGGATACCGAGTCTCTAATGACGCTTCGCCATGTTTTACCCCTGACCTGGCTTGACCCCAACATCCGCCGCAATGCATTATCGGAATGTACAAGTCGAGAATGCAACAATTTTCCAATTTTCATTTTATTCATCATTATAAGATTCAAGGTTTTTGGAAGTCTTAGAAAAGGTCTTATAAAAGTTGACATTTGTACCTTACATACATGTATAAAAGGAAAAAAAAAATAATAATACAGTCTTAGAGAAATAAGGTTGTCTCGGATCCAGTCTTAGATTCTGTACCAATGCTTATTAGCACGATATGAAATAAGAAGTGATTTTTGGTGTCTTGCAATGATAGCAAAAGCCTATTACACTATGTATTATACATGTCGGAAATAGAAGACAAAAATACCAAATAAGTATAAAAATCATAGCAATTTCTCTGAATGCCTGGATACCCATCGTTTTTTAACCTAAAATATATTTGTTGATCAATTTGCAATTAGAAAATGCATTGCTAATATTTTGATTCGCTTTTTCTGTAAAATATTAAAGATTTGACAATTTTCCCTGTATAATATAATTAACTTTAATTTTTAACTTTAATTAAGAAGTACTGTAGATAAATTATCATAACTTTGTTGATTTAGAGATACTTTTATCAGTATTTTTGATTACTTAAGGCCAGACAACACGTTCCTCAAAATTATACAATTTTTCCTAAGAATTTGTCATTGAAGTTACTTAAACAAGTTTCCTCACACCAAAATAGGGTAACTTACCAGATATTTGGCAAAGATACCAAAGGATCATATTTCTTATATAACCTAAATACGGTTAATATTCTAAATGGCCTATATATATATATCTTCAGTCCTTCACACGCATACATGTATATTCCACAGGCCTCTGAATTGCTAACAATAAGCCGTTGTATGCTTGATTACAATGATATATATACCCCCTCTATGTATGGACCTGGGGTTTTTACATCACTCTGATCGGCTTATTCATAGAAATTCAGAGGCCTGTGCATACTCCGATCCAAAAATTAAATTTTGCATTATCATATACATGGAAACTAGGGGAAAAGTAAATACCCGGTAGTCCATTAATCTAAATATCTTTCTTTTCTGAAAAACAAAATCATTTATATTTCACACTGATGAGAGAGAGAGATAGAGATGAGAGAGACAGAGACAGAGAGAGAGAGAGAATAAAAATTATGCAGTTCAGCAGAAAATGAGTTCAGGGACGTAATTCTCTTGAAGTGCCTAACAAACGGTCACAACGTGAATACATAAAGTACATCAACCTTATAAATGTCATCGGCCTCTTCTGTTAATCGCCAAATTCCATTCGTTATCAATGTTTTGTGAGTATATTGTGCTATTTTTAGGCAATCCTTAAAATAACTTTTCGATACTCTGTAGTAAAAATAATCTTAATTCATTCAGGAAAGAAAGACTTATTTTCAATCAGGAAAACGGAAATTTCCAAAAATATACTAAACAAAAATGTCAATACATGTAACATATCGCTAACTAAGCCTTTCAGCCCCTTTATTTTCAAAATGAAGACAAAAAATTAAGGGTCAGAATACATGTACAGTCACTGTGTACATAGCTATCCCGGGGACAGCTGACATCTTTAAAGAATACGTCAAATAAAGTGGGTCCTCCCTGATTTTTTTTTCTTTTCGATATATGCAAGTTAGATATACATCTCTAAAATTGGCACAAACTACATGTACATCCCAAGGTTAAATTGCATTGAATGGAATTTGTGAGGGAATACATGTAGAGGAGGGAGTCCCCTGCTACTTGGTTTCCGAATCCCCGACAAAAGGACTCAAACGGCTAAAATCTACCATCTGCATGGCAAAGTACCGTGTGCAACTTTCAGAGAGTAGCGTATCATACACCCTTGGTTAGCGAAGATGCTGGTATATAAGCTGAAATCCCCTTGAAATAAAACGTACAATAACGAAGGAAAAGAAGCGAATATTAGTTTTATCTATACAGTGTACCCCTGAGAGTCTTTTCCATTCTAAGAAAAACTGACGTTTTTGCTACCGCATTAATCGCAGCATCTTCGCTAGCCAAGGGTGACGATCCGCTCCTCTCCTCTTCGCTAGCCAAGGGTGACGATCTGCTCCTCTCCTCCTTTCACGTGAAAAGAGGAGAGGAGCGGATCGTCACCCTTGGCTAGCGAAGATGTAATCGCAGACACATTCTCCGCATTGAAATAAACATTTGATAACCCCTTCGTGAGGACAGATGATACAAACCAACTTTTGGTATTTCTTTTTTAGAATGTTCACTTGAGTCATGTTTATGTAAGTAAAATGAAAAAGTTTAAAAACTGACTAGATTTTTATTCCTTTTTTTTTTTTTCAAATTTCAACAATAATGTGATTTTAAGTGACAAAAATTTGTATAGAATATAAGGATAGTTGTAGAAAAGTTGAATTTTAAACACCTCAGTTTTTTTTTTAGAATTTAGAAACTTAGAACAAATTAGAAACTTATTATTTTCATCATTTACAACTGAAACAGGTCAAAAAATATAATTATACCGATCCAGCACAGACATATAAAGTAATAATTTTATTTCAAAATGCGCAATGAAAACTCTTTATTCCTACCAAGTTCTTGAGGTCAGTTTATAACAAACAAGTTAGTATATATAGGTCTCTTGATTCAGACATCCATTTTTTGCTTGCATCCTCTGTCCGATATAGTTGCCGTTATCCAGGAGGAATATCATAACGGGAAGCGGGTCCCGGGCGAAGTCCTTGCAGGGAACCTCGGTCGAAGGTCCCAATGGGTGACAGGGGGCGAAGGTCCCGGGCGAAAAACTGGTGGGGGACAGGGGGCGAAGGTGTCGGGCGAAGCACTGGGGGGAGGGGGGGGGGGGCAGGTGGCGAAGCTCCCGGAAAATCACAAATACTTACAGAGTGTCCGAAAAGAAAAGCACACTTTCAAACTTTTTGAATGCTGACTAAAGCTTGAGGAAATAATATAACAAATATGTACAAGGATAAATTAAAGATGTAAGTTTCTTTTCTGGAGGCATAATTTAGTTAATATGTCAAAATAAGATATTTTAGCAGCATTTTCTTTTCCTTGATATAAAAAAAAAATAAGAAAAAAAGAGGGGGAAGGGGTTAACAAAAAAACCTTTTAAGTATGATACATGTATAACATTTATTCACTATTGACAAATACCAAAGGCAATCCTAAATGTGACCTTTGGGATCATGTTTGTGCAGATTATAAATAAATTAATGTCGCTGACTTAAGAGATAAGAGGGTCATCCCAACATGTTTATACATGTATATAAATAATTCCTGATTTTATTTTGATTCGCAGTAAGAATTGTTTCTGGCATCTAATATTCCGATCCCGAACTGAAACATGGCTATTTTGGCATATGTTATCTTGATTTGTATTAGTAAGTATTATTTCAATCTATATGATTTATTTGGGAAACCTTCATATCTGCAAATTGATTATTTTTCTGCCCCCGTAATCAAAAATTTTGAGGGGGGACATACATTTTATCCTGTCTGTCCGTCTGTTTATGTCTGTTTATCCAAAAAAAAAATAACCGTGCTTTTGATTGGGTAGGACTATGAATTAAATATTTCACAGATGTATACTTCTTGTGACAAGACCTTTCTTTGGGTACCACTAAATTTGACCTCTTGACTGTCATCTTGGAGTTTGACCCAATTTTACAAAAAAAGTCAAACTTTTACCTTGGTCATAGTCATTACTTTTAAACATTAAGTACTACAGGTGTATTCCTTGTGGAAAGAGCTTGCTCGTGGTGCTATCATTTTGACCTTGACCAGGGAGTATGACTTGCATTTGAGAGACATCAATATTCGCAATAAGCTGCGTTACTGTGGCATTAATGATACACATCGTGTTTTCTCTGTTATCTCTAATTTAAAAAAATGTACCGGTATTCTATGTTCAAAAATAGTTTACTATATAGCTTAAACGTATTTTTTTTTTCTCCAATGTAGTGAAACATATGAACAGATTTAAGATTAATTATATTAATACGAAATATAATGTATTTTTATTACGTATACACACATTTTAGTTCGTTATAATCTACTTATCTATTTATAAAAGTTACTTTCAAATCCTTCCTTTTTTCATATCTATAACACATTTTATTAGTTATCCATCACAAAATTATGATGACGTTTAATATGAAAACAAGTTTTACATGATAAGTACAATTTTCAGTGAAAATTGAATAAAGGATCATGATTTCGGAAGGAAAGCAGTTATTAATTAAGATAATACTTAATGATCAAATACCAAAGAACATGTCTTTCCAAAGTATATTTATTGTAACTACATGTATATCGTTGATTTATATAAACATACAAAGAATACCTAAACGGCAAATGTCAAAAAGTAGCCAAAATCTTAAAAACTACATAATATATTTAAAACATGTACGAACATTTTAAATTAAGACTTTATTACACTGAATAGACTTCGAATGTTGTGATGAGAATATAGAGACGTTAATATTGTTACAGGCTATTTAAAATTTAAGGACATATGAAAGTAGAAATTAAAACATACGTGTGCAAGAACTATTAAGAAATCAGTTAAAATTCGAGAATTGACAAAGTATATGCAGGTATTATTTTAATATGTCTTCAAGAAAAAAAATGTACATGAAATCCCTTTTTTCTTCAGCGAGTTGTCTTGTGCAAATGACTTGGAATGTGTTTCAAAGTTCTAAAAACAGCGATTTTGACTAATGTACATACATGTAACATTTGTGAGTGAGCCGACAACCTACATATACTTACTTAAAACATTTAATAAGAATCTTTCTGATTTCCTTTTTTCCGCAAACCTAAATATAGCTCAAAAAAAAAAAAAATAATAATAATAATAATAATTCCATTTTTGTAGTTACCAATTGCTTTTGTGATACCTGCTATGACGTACTTCCGGATTGCCGTGAGTACACGAGCACCGCTTGTGAGGCCCCCTACCGGCTATGGGCGTATCAGAACTGTGCAGCATACTGTGGCTTTTGTCGTGAGTTTTAATTTTGCAGAATATTTCACAAAAACAGAGTTACTTTCACAGTTGCGTTCTTAAAAACCTATATTAAATAGATATTTTTTTTGTCACTGCTTGCCATTACTATGTCATACTCTTTCAAACCAAAATATGCACACTTTATTATGAACAACACTATTATTCTGTTATCTTTTGTTTAAATGCTTTGAAAGTGATCTGATCAATGTTTCTAATTTCTCCACTTCGCAGGGAAACCATGCGATGACGTCATTTCCGATTGTGATGAGTATGGAAGCAGCGCTTGTAAAGCCCCGTATGTTTCGTGGGCGATCCAAAATTGTGCCAAATATTGCGGATTTTGTGATCAAAGTAAACAAAGTACGTCGTTTAAAAACTTCTTTTTTTTCTTTATAATTCATCATGTTCACTACAGAAATATAGTACTAGAATAGCATTTATCAACAATCGTTTTTTTTTAATTTATGCTTTTTTTAGGGGGTAGGGATCAAATACTTTTAACTTAATATGTTAAAATATCTCATTATGAAAGCGTCACATTAATAAATAAGATATCAAAAAAAAAAAAAAAAAAGAATTAAGACGGTTAGAAGGTAGATCTAGTTGGAAAACTCTAATATCAGTGACCTATTTTATGTTTCAATTACTTATACAGTAAAATATTTTCCTTATCAATCTTATTTTTTGGTACTTTTCAGAAGCACAATGTAGCTATAGTGACTGGATGGCGGTTTCGGATTGTTCCGTAACTTGTGGGAGTGGCTACAAAACGGAAGTGAGGTCATTTCTAAAGGTCAAGGACAAAACACCAGGATCAAAAGACTGCAAAGAGGAACTTGAACGATATACAGAATGTAAACTTGACCCATGTAAGTACTGACTGCACTTATCTACAAGAATGGGACCTTTTCATGGACTAATTCTATGCCTGCATGTCAAACACTGTAAATAATTTTTTATTTTTGTTTTGCAACATTTTACTCGAAACTGTTTGTTTGCGAAAATGTCCTTCATGTGAACATCAGTAATATTAGAGACTACTGGCGTATATTGAGCAAAAATCGTTTCAAGAATTTTGTCACGCGGTATAAAATCCAAATAAAAATCTTGAAATTAGATGTGAGGAAAATTAAGTAATCAACAGTATACAGAAATGTTCCCTCTTTTTTTGTGTTAAGCTTAATTTACTCTTATCCTTTAGTATATATCAAAATAATGAAGAAAAAGTGAAAAAGAGACATTGATAACTACTAGTATGTAGAAGAATTATTAAATTGATAAATTTTTATCTAAGTGGAATTTTTAAAGAAGTTATACAGTTAAATTTTTGCATTTATAATCTCTGTTTTCTTTCCAGGTCCCAAATAACAAAGAATCCTCATTTGACACCGCTCTTATTTTCTCATCATACACTGTGACGTATCATTTTCTATTTTTCATATGTACATATTTCATCGTATTGTTAAGTATTGTCCAGTAAAGCTATTTAAATTTTTTTTTTAGTTATACGAACTTTTCTAAAAAGTTCAAAAATGTTTATAATGTTTTGTTTTCCTTGTTTGTAAAACAAATAAATGACATACCTCACACTGTCTAGTATTTTTTTTAACTTATAAGACCTTTTTCTGACAACTGACACACAAAAGATTGAATAGATTGTCTTATCTTTTAAGCACTCACTGGCGAATTTAGACACGGAGGGCGTCACCCCTTTAGTGTCCAAAATATATACAAGATTTAATAAATCAATTTTTTGGTGACCCCAATCCATACTTGTCCCCTCTTCCCCCCAATTTTTCAAGATTTCTGGATCTGCCACTGGCACCAATACTCTTTGCGTCTAAAAAAGGTTGATTGTGGTTGCCGTGTAGAAATATTTTTGTATGCTTAAACCATAAAAGAGATATATGTGCCTTTGATTAATTTAACATTTTTCTTGAAATACATAAACAGTTTGATAAAATTTGAACATCCGAATGTAGGCAAGATAACAGTTGTAATGTGCAAGTTATGTATCTTAAAAACGAAGCACGGTAATATATGAAAAGCATGGGGACAAGACTCTATGGATCCTTTAGCTCTTTATCCCACTTACAATTCATCACCCATGTGGCGCAGTCGTTAGAGTGTTAACAAGCTCTGGAAAGGAGTTGATCCTTATGTCGCGTGTTCAAAACCCACCCCCAGGACATGCAACAGGTCGTTAGGATGAGACCGTATAAAACGAACTCCCTTGTCGCAGTAGGTGCTCTCACTAAAAAGACGCTTTACTGCTCTTTACTGCTCAAAGCTGGTGAGTGCCCAGTGAAGGACAAAATATGCACACTGAAAGAAAAACCTAGTGAATTTAACTAGTGTGTTTCGTAAAGCGTTGGTCGTGATTAGTAAACTTTCAGTTTACTGGTTAAGATAGTGAGTTGTGGAGTGGGGGTCGTATAGATACTTAGATACCTAGTGAAAGTTACTCATCAATTCTAAATTTATACTAATCTTTTCTAGTAAATATACCAACATCTGGTAAAACTACTGTTAAGGTAGTGATTGTATGGACAGTGAATCTACTAGTTTTCTTCGTGACATTAACTAGTTATTTTTTACAGTGCAGCTTTCCACCAGCAAGTGCATGATTGCGTCTCCATATTGGTAAACACTTTGAATGGAACACCATTAAATAAAAAATCAAACACATACATTTCTTTAGATAAATTTATCATTGTTTTTAGCATTTATAATTAGAATTTCCTTAATGAGATTTTGAAAAGCAGCCGCCTCCTCGGTTGTAGAGCGTTTTCCAAAAGCAAAGAGTGGTAACACGGGCAGTATTTCTGTGAGCAGGGCTCCAATTACCCCAATAGCCCCCGCTGTTCCCACAGCTGCCCCCACATCTACGGGGTCTACATTAGGTATTAACGGTCCATGATCAATGACTGGGTCAGGTACAAAGACCGGGGTCTTTTCCGTCACAGGAACCGGGTTCTTTACTGTCACAAGGTCTGGATTCAACACTGTTTCCGGAACTTTACCTTAAATGTTTACATTTTTGCATATTTCAAACAAATCAATTTAAAACGAAGAAAAAATAAATGAATATGATTTGAAATGTATGTTCATGTAATTAAGATTTTAGATTAATGATTACTTAAAGTAGCAATCTTTACAATCTACCGTATAAGAAGAATTTTTAGCGAGGATTTAATTTTGGCATTATGAGCGAGGGTGCCAAGATCGCTATAAAACTGAATATCGCTAAAAATTAATTGCGTTTTATTTGTAATTGCTTCTTTGGTGACCTTTTTAAAATCGCTAAAAATACATCTCGCTAAAAACAAAATACCTATATTTAAGAGAAAATCGCTACATTTGGGTTTAGCTAAAATTTCTACTAATACAGTATATGATCATAAAGGATATGGGCATCAGATTACATGCAAAGGAACTGTTTTAAGCATAGCAAAACATGTATAATAGTAATACAGGTATATGCGAAAATGTTTTCCTTTTTTTCTCGATATAAAGATGTCTTCTAACAATTTTGATCAAAGTTTTAGTGGCCTTGCATTTCATTTTATCAACTCAATTTCAGTTATAGTCGACATGAACGCTATGTCAAAAATATTGCTTGACGAAAAAATTGCATTGTCGAAGTTATTGGGGGCTCAGGGACCTTAGGCTCCTCCCATTTGTGTCCAAAATATACATAAGATTTAAAAAATCATGGTTTTGGGTGTTTCTGCTGGTCCTTTCTCAAACCCCAATGTGGTCTCCCCCATCCCCTTTCAAGATTTCTGGATTTGCCATTCAGAGAACACAAGAACGACTGTGGAAGACGTGGATATTTTGAAATGAATGAAGATAAAATAAGTCAACGGATAATAAATCTGAGAACAAAGTATAATACACAATCAGATAAAAACACATTTTCGCAAATATAATTTCCCTCAAGTCACTCACATGAATTTGTGTTGCAAGACTTGTTCCTGAACAAAGCTTCAGTACAATCCTTAGCCAGTGGCGTACCAGAGGGAACGTGGTGCTGAGTTCTTATTTGTGTGGTGAAACCAGTTCCACAAGACTTAGAACAACGTGTCAGTGTTATCCATGGACTGTATAGACATTTTGATTCTACAACCATTCGTAAAGGAAGAGTGATACTTTTAAATGAGAGCGGGGTATTTCAATAACAAACATAGCTTTCAACCACTATTGAAATACGACCACTATTGAAATACTTATTTCAGTTGTGGTTGAGAGTACATTCTAATTGCAAACACAGGTTGCAACCACTATTGAAATACAACCACTGTTGAAATATTTATTTCAATAACGGTTGAGTACATTTCCATATCAAACATAGGTTGCAACCGCTATTGAATTATTGTTCATTTTGAAATAAAGATTTCAATAGTGATTCAAATATAGATTTAAAAAAAAAGATTGAAACATTGATTTCAATAGTGCTTTAAACAATGATTCCAAAAGATATTAAAATGCTTATTTTAATAGTTGCTGACAATGATTTTAATACCAAAACCACATTGCAAGCTTTATAGAAGTATCTCAACTATTAAAACAAATATAAGAATAAATTACACATTTTATATTTTTAACACATTAAACAAATTTATCATACTGTTATTATATAGTTTAAAATATTATAACTTGTTTGTTTTATGTTTTCCTTTTTTTGTAGAAATTTCAATTAATACACGGACACTTTTTATGTAACTGACCTACCTACGCTTCAAAGATGTATGCAAATATTATAAGCAAGCTCCTGCTGAATCTGGCCGAATTGGCGAAAATCAACAGAAACTCAATTAATAATATGCAATTTTGAAATAATATTGTAATATAAAGTTCATTTTAGTCATTGATTTGAAAGGAAAGGATCATAAATACATCTAGATGTAGACATTAGAATATTTAGACTAAATTGAAGAAAAATGAAAGAAGACTGCTAATTTTGTGTACAAACTTATGAAAATATGATTATTTAACAAAAAGAATAAAAAAAAACAAACTAATTTGTCGCTCATGTTCATGGGGTTTCCTACACTTCTAATATGTATAGTAAATCCAACGTCGACTCGTCATTACATTAAAAGCTAAATTTCTAGGGAAATTAGTATTAGGTTTATAATAATGGTAGGTGTTATTTCAATTGTGATTAAAATGTGGTGGTGTTTTGAAACTTTTTTCAACTTCTTTTGAAATGATGAGTCACAAGTAGTCGTACTTTTAATAGTTAACTCAATATATGAATTAAAAATGTTGGAGAACACAAAAATCTTTAATCCTTGTATTTTTTTTGTTAGTTAAGTTATTTCAGTAAGTTTTGCAATGTGGTTTTAGTATTGGGTTAATTATCAGCAACTATTAAAATAGTTATTTGAATCATTTTTGCAATTGTGATCATTATTTCAATAGTGGTTGAAACTTGTTTTAAGTTTTGAATTGCAATCAGAACCTTTACTGAAATCTTTATTTCAAAAGTGAACATTATTTCAATAGTGGTTACAACCTATGTTTGGTATTGCAATGCACTTTTAACCACCATTGAAGTAATTATTTCAATAGTGGTCTTATTTCAATAGTGGTTGCAACCTATGTTTATTATTGAAATGTACTCGCAACCACTATTGAAAGAAGTCTTTCAATAGTGGTCGTATTTGAATAGTGGTTGCAACCTATGTTTGTAATTAAAATACACTATCAACCACTACTGAAATAATTATTTCAATAGTGGTGGTCATTTCAATAGTGGTTGCAACCCCCCCCCCCTTCCAGGCCATTCAATTAAAACATGCAAGACTATCCTATACAATAATTGCAGCTTAATTTTTTCGATACAATAGGTTTATCAATATCGAGATTTGAGTGAAGAAATAATTTTTTTTGCTATTTTTAAACCCTGTTTTCCAGATGATTAGGTCGAATTTTCTCTAACTTAGCGCATTGTAGTAACCTTGGACCTCTGGTCTAGGTACTGTCATTAATGCTTATGATACGCGTAATGTAGCGAATCTTTGCATCAGCAACTCTCCATCACCTTTATTTTAATATTTTCCTGCTACAGCAATGAAAATGCTTACTTAAGTCATTTTCAGGAAGCCTTAGCATCGCTAGGGGAAACGAAAGGAGAATTCCTTTTTTTTTTAAATATTGCTGCATTATTTTGATGAACAGTTGCATTACTTATGATGAATAGTTACAAACCCTTAAATCTCCAAAATATTACCAATTGTTTTGTTAAACATACATTTTTTTTTAATTTCTGTTAAGCAGACTCAAACTTGACTTACGGTAATGTAATGAAACTCGTTCAACCGTTGAATTACCGATATTTACAAAATTGAAGATATCTACACTTTTCAGTTAAGAATTCCAAATTCTTTACTATATATAATCATTTCCCCCTAAAGTAGGTTGTTGCGTTTCTTTCAGTACATTAGAAAATGAATAATTATAAAAGTATCCATTACATGTACCTGCCCCACAATAACCGCAGTATTCTGCACAGTTCCTCTTTGCCCAGGTTTCATAAGGTGGCTGGCACATTGTTTTACCAAATTCATGACAATCACTTCTCTTATTTAGGCATTGCTTGCCTATTGAAATGAAAGAAAAAAAAGCTGGAAATACTAATATATATAATCATTCGATTACTATTTCTAATTATGTCATTATCATATTCACTCGGACTCTTTCCATATTAAGTAAAAGATATTTTTATCAAAATTTTTATCAACACTTTAGGTGAATATATATTTTTATCACTGATAAATAAGGTGATTTTGGAATTCTTTTATTAGTCTTGCAATAAGAGAGCATTTTGTAATTTCTGTGTTGATTCTTATGACAGAAATTTAAATATTTAGTACTTTCATTTGTGTAAAACTTTTTATGCCCCTGTCAACGAAGTTTCAGGTGTATATAGTTTTTGTCGTGTCCGTCCGTCTGTCTGTCTGTCTAGCTGTCTGTCTGTCTTTCTCTCTATCTGTCTCTCTGTGTGTCTAACTGTCTGTTTGTCTGTTTGTCAGCAAAAGCTTTAACCTTGCCCATAACTTTTAATTTAGTGGAGCTATGACTTATATATTTCAAAAGTGTATTCCTTGTGACAAGACATTTCTTTAGGTACCTGCAAATTTGACCTTTTGACTTTGACCTTTGAATTTGACCAGCTTTTACAGAAAAATTCCAAACTTTTACTTTGGCCATATCTTTTGAACAGTAGATACAAGGAGATTTGTACGTGACATATGTATTTTTTGTGGAAAGACCTTTCATTGGATACCAACAACTTTGACGTTTTTACCTTGACCTTGGAGATTTCCGTACTTGTGATTGATTGATTGTGTATTGTTTAAAGACCCTCGAGCTCTCGAGAATTTTTTACTCATATGGAGACACCACCACTTTCCAGTGGAGAGCTGCAAATTCTGTTCTATACTCGGCACTCAAGACCACTGAACAGGGAGGGATTTTTTTTTGTGCCAGCACCTACTGCGACACTGGACCTCGGTTTATACGCGGTCTCATCCGTAGGACCGGTCATCATGTCTCCTAACTTGTGAAAAAACTGTAAGTTTGGCCGTACCTTTTGAATAGTAAGGGACAGGTCTCTCATACTTCACATATGTAATGCTTGTGAGAATACCCTTCATTGGGTACCAAAATCTTTGAACTTTTGACCATGACCTTGGAGTTTGACTTACTTTTTAAAAGCAAACCTTGACCATAACTTTTAAAGGATTATAGCTAATGCTTTCATACTTTACATATTTAAGCCTTGCGACAAGACCTTTCATTTGATACCATGACTTTTTGACCCGTTGACCTTGACCTTGAAGTTTGACCTACTTTTTATTATTATTTCTACCTTGGCCATATTTTTGAAGGGTAAGGGCTAGGGCTTCCATTCTTCATATATGTATTTTTTTGTGGCAAGACCTTTCATTGAATACCAATTACCTTGATCTTTTGACCTTGAACTTATAGATTTCCGTACTTATGATAACACTTTAACTTTGACCTACTTTTTTATTTCAGGTTTGTAATTCCAGTGAGTTTGCATTTAGGAAAAGTCGCTATGTTGCCATACGGGGGCATCAGTGTTTCACAAACACGTCCTGTTGCCTCAGAAAGAAATGCAAACTTATCTTCAAAATGTTAATTTGCACTGTATTTATAATTTATGATTATACTGCCTAGAATCAGTAATCAGACATACAGGTAAAAAACACAAAAAAAGCCTTTCTACCCATAAATTAATCGTATCAAAATCGCATATATACACTAGTACTGTATAAGTATCTTCATTTTTAAGGAAGCTCTAAAAACTGCACACTAAAGAGTTCACATTATAGAGTAATTTTTTACTGTAAGAGTGATCTGTCCTTAAAAGTGAGATAGAAATAAATAAATGATTATTTACAATTAATTGCACAATTTGTAATAAACTAAAATATGCCTAATATTATATTATACCAAGAATAAGTAATTTAATTCATTATTTCAATTAATTTCCCTAACGTAACTAAACAACTGGATGTGTCTCTGAATTCTTTGAACATTTTTCCTGCAGAATTAAGGCAGGTACTCTGTGTTGAAAATAAACTAAATTGTACAAATATGTACACCTTTATGTGATTTATTTTTGTTCAAGTTTAAAAAGCATTTTGTCAGTGTTTAAAGAGCTTCCTTAAATATGTTTTGCTATCTCCCGATAATATACAGTCATGTACCTTTATTATTTTTAGCTAATTATTAATTATTTAATTATGCTTCTTACGACAGAATCCACAAAAGTCTGGACAATTCTCGTAGGCCCACGTTACGTATTGAGGTTTACAGGAATCTAACGTGTACTCTGCACAGTCTGGAATTTTATCCACGCATACATCAGCATAGGAATCCGTTATCAATCCTTGTATGTCAAGAAAACAGAAAATTAATCATTGAATTCCGTCCTACAGTAACAATTATTTTCATTAAAGATATTGAAAGTAATTAATTGATAATTTTGTTTGCTTATTCCAATTTAATCACTTACCTGCATATGCAAGAACTATCAGAAAAGTAAAACCTTTGTTCATAATAACTTAATGATTCCCAACGCTAACTTATTATGTATATCTATATATATATATATATAACTGTATATTGAGTTATTTAGGTTATCTGCAATCTTCATAACATTTGAGACACGTGTCCTATTGGGCGTGAATGGACCAATAGACGGCGTTGGTTTACTATGGAACAGGAAATTCCATTTTGCTTAAGATAAGAGTAAAGCCATGAAAACATTGCTCCTTTTAGAGATCTGGGTGGTTGGGACCATTTTTTGACTGTATGGATCTTCTTAAGAAGAAGAGCACCATATTAAGATTGATCAAATTTTAAAACCAAAATGTATTATATATTTTTTTCTTTTAGTGTATAGTTGACAGCAAAAGATGCTGTACGTGCACATAATTTTGCGTATTTTAAAAGCATAATCATAATCGTGGGTGTGGAGTTGTTGGCGTAATCATAAAGAACGAGGGCGCTTTTGATTGGCATTCGGCAGGAATCTGGGCGTACTTGAAAAGTGAAATTTTTTTCAACATGTCACGTGGAATTTTAACATATATTTGTTCATCAGCTTCCTTCGCAATAGGAAAGGAAAATATTTTCACGAAAATGAATTTTGATTTGCTAAAAAAATAACTTGAAAATTGGCTAGATCAGACCTTTTGTACAAAATGCTACATTTTTAAACACTTTTCTTTTCTTTTTTTTTTTTATCTCTGGGTCTTCTCTCCATGATTTTGAAACGTTATATATGTACATTTCAATTTAAAGAAACGAATTTATATTCGAAAAAAAATAGAGAGAGAAGACCTAGAGACCATAAAAAAGAACTTTTTTCCAAAAAATCCAACTGTGTAAATGTAGTGTTTCTCTGTCCTTTTAAAACCCATACTGTATGTGAAACGGTGATAGCTCAGAAAAATGGGCTACTGTTCAGTGCACCAGATGCGAAAAGTTTTTGGTTCGAGCCTCGCATGTTAATTATTTCCTTTTAATACAAACAATAAATAATTTTGTTAGTTTCATTTTATGTACTTATAATTATGTATTAAAATTTTGAATTAGATAAATTCTGGTTCAGTTTGGTTCTAGAGCAAAATCAATTCCAGTCTTCTATATATTCTGTGATGTACATGTGTACACTTATCATCTATGTCTTTAATCTTATAGGTGTTTATTTCTTTGTGAAACATTACTATTTTATTGTACCACCTAGGAAAAACGGTCATAAATGTTACAATCTGACAAGGTATTTCAAAATAAATTAAAAAACTTCAATGGTTATGTTTGTAGAATCTGACCAGCTATGTTCTGCCAACCAAATCATGGACATTTCAACCATAAATGTTTCGTACAAATGATTCCTGCTGATTGCACGCCATATACGCCCATCTTCTTTGCCCTGCACATGTCCGTTCAGAGTGTTGTATATGTAAATAATTTCTCAGCGGTATTCTTGAATTAGAGCATTGTTGTCTCTGCTAAAGCCGCTTAAATTTGAAGCCCACTTTTTAAAGTACACATGCAATATCAAATCTGAAAAACGGTTATTTCTGACGGTTAATTTGTTGACTCCTAACTTGCTTCCCCCTTTTTTCTGCACACGTGTTTCTGATGACTTCATCGTTGACATTTCAATGATTCATAATGTATGAAAAGCGTCCTGGGTTTGAAAAATAAAATGAAACTAGAGGTACTGTGAGCACTGAGCTCACTAAATGATACCCCCGCCTCCCACATGGTTAAAATGGCAAAGTCCATGTTTTGCTGTGGCCGGGAAACCCAAAATATGTGTCGGATCAAAAAGTAAAATAGGAGTTGCACAATGGCAATATGTAATAAAGAATCTGTGAAAATTTCATTGAATTTCACTCAGTGGTATCAGAGGAGTTTCGGATAAGAGATGGGTACCCCAAAGCGTAACAGACAGACAGGCGGACGGACATACCGGTTACAGTAAACCCTCCCACTTTTCAAGCGGGGGGTATGAAAAAATCCAATTTTTCAATGTTAGATATTTTATTTTGTTCACTACATATGGTTACATTTTGACAAGATAATATCAGGAGAAACATACAACATGAAACTAAGCATATAAGAAAAACAGATAGTACATGCAAAAATAAATGTATTAGATTAAACTTATATCACATTATATTTGGATAAACTATCAAATTTGAATTTTTAATTTAATATCATTTTTGGTGAGTATATTTTTTTGAAATCATCCCTGTGAAATAGATTTTTAAATGATATTTGAATTCGGAGTAGAGCAAACACGAATCTCCATAACATCAGAGTTGGGATCAGGTGCGATGTAAGAGTGATCATTCCATATTTAAGTCTTAATCATTTCATTGGTTCTAGGCGAAAAAGCGTCGACACTGGACCGTATGCTAGCAAAATAATGACTTTTCGGCTGATAATCATTACTTTTGTAGTGAAATTCCTTTGATCGAGTTAATAGTTATATAACCAGGGTTTGAAATAGTCTTAGCAATCAAAAGTTATCTCCTATTTCCAGACAATGTTTCAAACATTCAGAAGATCAAGATCTGACTCAGCAAATCTTGGAAAAGTATTTAAGCGGGCTCATTCAAGTCCCGGTGTTCAGTTGTGGGGAAGCCGTCATAAGAAGAGGATGTCTCATTAGTAAGGTATTTGTGTTTTCTCATTTGCGGTGTCTCAACGTTCTGCAGACGGACCATTTGAATAACATAGATCTTTACGGGTTAATTAAAGAGTAATAGAATATTATAAACGGGTGTTTGAAACCCAGTGTTCGAAACTACGGGTCTGGGAGCTATAGTGCTCAAATATAGTGTCAGACCAGGGGCTTAGTACTTGGAATAGGAGGATAACAAACTAAGGAAAATTATAATTATATAGACGATAAGTTTAAATCATTGTATTGTTGATTATTATTGATTGTGTTTGTTCTTATATTTAAACAAATCAGCGAAATACGTCAAATAACGTAAGGAAAATTCTTTATCAAAACTTCATCCGTGGTCGAACCCACAAAACACTTTACAAATTTTTGGTGACAGCGGTGGGATAAATTGATCTAAAACCCACTTGTGATTTTTATGAAAAGAACAATTATTTGTTAAAGAACTTTTTCTCAGAAACATTAGGTTTAGGTCTTAAACCATGGATGACGTTGAGAAAGAGATAAGTTATCTTGAAGAGAAAATTAAAGAGTTCTCAAATGAAAGTATGCGTTTGAGGGAAAAAGAGAGACAGAAATCATCAACTCCAATAACAAATAGAGATTCTGGCATTGGTGCCCCGGAACAAGTGAGTTCTGAACCAAGACA